AACTTTTTTTTCGAGTGGCTTTTTTTGCAGAGAATGCCTCATATATGGTAACCCTCTAAAAAACTAAAATTAAATTACGCATTTACAGGTCAAGCCCTTTCATTGGACACCTCATATTTCAAAATCGAATGAACGATACAGATTTTATGAATTCGTGTTAAATATTTAACGCAAACATCTGCGGCATAGAAATTTTGAATTCGACTTTCTAACATGTGGCAACTCCTTTCATGGAACTACTGCTTCGTTGCGCACCAGAAGGACAAGGCCTTTCATGTGACACCTCGTTTTTGAAATTCGAGAGAACGATACAAATTTTATGACTTGGTGTTAAATATTTAACGCAACCACCTCCAGACTCGACTTAGAAGTTTCACTTCAAAAAACTCAGTGACTTGGTATTGAATATTTAACGCAACCATTTGCGCCAGAGAAATTTTGAATGCGATTTTCTAACATGGGTTGCCACATGGAACTAGAGCTATGTTGCACACCCAAAGGACAAGCCCTTTAATTTGAACCCTTCGTTTTTGAAAATCGAACGAACGCTACAGATTTTATGATATGGTGCTAAATGTTTAACGCAACCATCTCCGAACTCGATTAAGTTTCACTTAAAAAAAAATTTAAATTGCCATTTTTGCCTTTTTTTGACACTGAAAAACTGAACGTGGTAGAAAAGTCTTGTAAATGCACTTCAAATCAGAATCAAAAATCTACTATAAGATGAGGTCGGCCTAATTACAAGTGCTCAAATTTTTTGGGGTCGGCACTTATGTATGTTTTAATTTTGCCGCTTCTATTAGGCAAACTGCTAATACCTTTCTGATTTATCATACATTTAATGAGTTGCATTAAATTAGTTTTTAAATTTCAATTTTAGGATGTACCATGATGAGAAAATGCCATTTAAACACTTGTCCAGTGGGAATCGCCACACAAGATCCTGTACTGCGCCAAAAGTTTACAGGAAAACCAGAGCATGTTGTGAACTTTTTCTTCATGTTGGCAGAAGACGTAAGTTTATTTATTCGAATATATATTTTATTTAAGTAGTTAAAATGATTTTTCAAAAACAAAAGTTTATCCTTTGTATCCGCTCATATTTAGATGGCCTTTTAAGATATTTCAATGGCTGGTATTAATTTCTAGCTCCATTCTAAGCTTTGTATTATATATAATTTTTTGTGATATTTATAACGGCTCAGCCTGTTGAAACAATGAGGAATCAGTAAGAGACACAAACTCACACGGAAGAAAGCTTGGGCAATAGGTTCTTGGCTGAAGGAGATTGAAACCCAAAGCATACGTTTAGGGGGATCATACCTCATTAATCCAACCGTTATAAACAAACACAATAAATTAGATGTGACATATCCTGGAAAGCCTACTAATCGGAAATAGATTCTGGGCCTTCTAGATTTCGCTGTAACAAAGAACATAAGACATACATCTCATAGTAGCAGAGAATGTTAATAACTTATCGTCTGATAATTCTCCTGTATTAATAAAAATACATGAGAAAGCCCAAGTCATTGAGCCACCAAAAATATTTAATAAAATTGTTCAACGGAATCATAACAATGAGATTTATGATGCTGTTTTTGAACTTTTTTGAAAGATTGGTTTAAGAAAAACTTTAATAACTGGGCCGAAACAATACCGCTTTAGACTTATGAGGTATCGTTGGAAAGGTATTATTTATTTATTTGCAAATAAACTCATTCAAATATGAAAGAGAAAGGCAAGATGAACGAGCATCATTCCACGTTTAATTAAGATGTCTTGATATTAAAAAAAAAAAAATGGGACGTGAATGAGTTTTGTTTGCAAATAAATGAAAAGGGTAGGAAAACACCTTTGCATTAATACCTCATAAGTCTAAATCCGTATAGTTTTGGCCAAGTTATTCAAGTTTTTCATAAAAAAAAATTAAAAACAACATCAAAAATCATATTATGATTCCGTTAAAAAAATGTTTAAATAATTTTATGCAGATTTTTTAAGCTTAAACTGTTTTGTCATCTGAAGGGATTTTTTTTAAGGAACTACATATTTTTAGCCGACTTCCAAAAAAGGAGGAGGTTATCAGTTCGTCGGAATATTTTTTTTTTTTATGTACAGTCATGTGAAAAATAATAGGGACACTTTTATTAAAATATTTGAAAATCCCCCTTCGCTTCAATTTTAAAAAATTGGTCCGAAATTACGTAATAATTTCCTGCTGGGATGTCGTTGAAGCTAAGAACCGTTATCGAAGCGGAAATATTTTGCGTCGTTTCATAATTATTGATCATTTTGTGAAGTGAGTTCGTTTTGCCGTGTGCGAAATAATAGAGACGCGGACATCTTAGTAAAAGTTTCTTTGAAATAGTGTGGATTTTGAAGATTATAAACAACGAAAGGTATTATATATAAAATGAAATTTAATTATATGCTAAACAAATAATCATACACTACAATTTAGTCACTCAAAATGGGCAGAAGAAAGCACTGCACTTTCAGCTTAGAGAACAAATAAAACATCTTCAGAATAGAGGGTTTTCGTACCGGAAAATAGTCGAGACGTTGAAATGTTCTAAAAGAATGGTGGAAAATGCAATAAGATATAAACCAAAAGTGGAAGCACGTGGACGAAAAACAAATATCTGCAGTTCTTGAAAGAAATATAGAGAGGTTTGTGAAAAAGAACCCCTTTGCATCTTCAAATGATATAAAAAATGAATTTTCTTTGGACGTGGACTGTTCCACCATTCGCAAAAGACTTATAAAAAATTTAAAATCAACAAGTCATTTTTAGCATATATAAAACCGACTTAAAAAAATATATATATATGTATATATATTTCATGATTCAATGATCGGATTTAGTATGGGACCACCTCTGAGATACTACCTTTCTATTGCAAAAAGAATTATCGAAATCGGTTGACGTGGTCAAAAGTTATGCGATAATTTTGCATCGGAAAGGTAGTGTCTCAGAGGTGGTCCCATACTAATCTGGTTTAGATCCGATCAGTGGATCATGAAATATATATATATATACTAGCAGAGCACCCGATGTCGTTCGGGGTATACAAATCAAAATATAAAACAGTAATACAAATCGTCGTTTAAAGTGCAAAACCGCGTATCAACAAAATGCAAAACCGTGTATGTGAAGTTGTAGAAATTATTTTCTAGAGCGTAAAAACACTCATATTTCAAAAAGCAATCGCATTTCTGGCTAGTATATTTCAGGACGAATGGATAAGGATTGAGTCAAGAGCTTGTGTCAGCAAATCCAATTTTTGGCAGCCAATGTCAGTTACGCGGTTTTGCAGAATGACGATACGCGGTTTTATACTTTAAAGGACGAAATATTCAGTTCAGCATAATTTAAAGGAGACAAACTATTTTCTTTGTTTACATTAACTCAGACATGGGATCCGACAATAGGGGGTGGCACCTCCCATAGGCGTAAAATTTTTAATCAGCCATAACTATAACTTCCAGACCATAAGTCACATGAACTTGAAACTTGGTATGCAGACATGTCAATGGTAGATGCTTATAGGCGGGTATATAATCGAGTTTGTAAAAGGGGGCGTGGCACATCCCTTAGGCATGGAATTTTTTATCAGCTATAAGTTCGGAACCATAAGTCGCACGAACTTGAAATTTGGTATGCGGACATATCAATAGTAGGTGCTTATACGAGGGTATATATAAACGTGTTTGTAAAAAGGGGCGTGGCACATCCCTTAGGCGTGGAATTTTTGATCAGCTATAACTTCGGAACCATAAGTCTCACGAACTTGAAATTTTGTATGCAGACATATCAATGGTAGGTGCTTATAGGAGGGTATATATAAAGGAGTTTGTAAAAGGGGGCGTGGCACATCCCATAGGCGTGGAATTTTTTATCAGCTATAACTTCGCAACTATAAGTCACACGAACTCGAAGTTTGGTATGCTGACATTTCAATGGTAGGTGCTCATAGGAGGGTATGTATAAACGAGTTTGTAAAAGGAGCGTGGCACATCCCATAGGCGTGGAACTTTTCATCAGCTATAACTTCGGAACCTTAAGTCACACGAGCTTGAAATTTGGTATGCAGACATATCAATGGTAGGTGCTTATACGAGGGTATATATAAACGAGTTTGTAAAAGGGGGCGTGGCACATCCCATAGGCGTGGAATTTTTTATCAGCTATAACTTTGGAACCACAAGTCACACGAACTTAAAATTTGGTATGCAGACATATGGAGGGTGCTTATAGAAGGGTAAGTATAAGCAAGTTTGTAATAGGCGGCGTGGCACATCCCATAGGCGTGGAATCGGCTATAACTTCGGAACCACAGGTCACACGAACTTGATATTTGGTATGCGGACATATCAATGGTAAGTGCTTATAGGAGGGTATATATGTTAAAGGGGGCGTGGCACATCCCATAGGCGTGGAATTTTTTATGAGCTATAAAAAGGGGCGTGGCACATCCCATAGGCGTGGAATTTTTTATCAGTCTTAACTTCGCACCATAAGTTCCACGAACTAGAGATTTGGTATACAGACATATCAATGGTAGGTGCTTATAGTAAGTTGTATATGAATGAGTTAATAAAAGGGGGCGTGGCGCATCCCGTAGGCGTGGAATTTCTAATCAGCCATAAATTGGGAACCATAAGTCACATGAACTTGAAATTTAATATGCAGACATAAAAATGGTAGGTGCTTATAGGAGGGTATATATCAACGAGTTTGTAAAAGGGGGCGTGGCACATCCCATATTCGTGGAATTTTTTATCAGGTATAACTTCGGAACCATAAGTCGCACGAACTGTAAATTTGGTATTCAGACATAGATATCTATGGGAAGTGTTCAGAACAAAGTATATATAAATGAGTTTGTAAAAGGGTGATATACATATATGTATTCATCTATTAGATAACTCGGATATTTAAAACTGCGTGTTTTTTTTTGAAACCTTACCTTAATTTTAATTTAGAAATTTGATCGTTACCTTAATCCACCTAATATTAATAATGGAACAAGATTTGTAGTACAAGTGATGATCAGTATATATTAGTTAAAGCACGATAAAGCTAAAAGTATGGCCTATGGATGCCTTAATGTAAACAAAGGAAATAGTTCGTCTCCTTTAAATTATGCTGAACTGAATATTTGTATTACCGTTTTATATTTTGATTTGTTTACCCGGACGACGTCGGGTGCTCTGCTAGTCTTACTAATACACGTATACCAATGAGAACCACTGCACACGCATTCTGGAGTATTTTTGAAAATTTTTTTGGTGATGGTTCTGCGCATTTTCTCTTATACAAAGTATGCTTGACAAAATTTTTATATGGAATAAAATGCGCAGCACCGTCAATAAAAAAATAAAAAAATTTCAAAAATCAGGGCTATTTTAGAGTCACTTGAAACTTGCACTTTATTACACTATAATTGAATGGGCTACAAAACTGCATATCCGAAATTTTTCTAAAAATATTATTAACTTATTCACTGCAGGTCCTATGTTGACCATTTTTAAGAACTGTTTCCAGCTTTTAAGAAAAACGAAAAGATCATACTAAAGAAATGGAAAAGAAATTTTCTTTTAAGTCTTAATTTGTTAAAAATTTTAAAATTGCATTTACCCGTAGAATATGCTATATTTTTACAAAAAATGTATATTAAATAAACAAAAGGAAAAGTGTAAATACTAAGGATTGAAAGGGTGTCCAATTCAAATGACGAGGAGTGTATATGAGCAGATGTGATCACTACCGCAAGTAAACGCGAGCTGAAAGTGTGATTGTGTTAGTGTGGCAATTACGTTTGAATGATTTTGCGTTCACTTTGTTACGCTCTCGCATGTAATGCTTACGCGCTCTTTAAGCAGGCGCTCACTCTGTCCATGCTTGTATATGAGCAAATTTGACATCGCTATAATTGTTGCCAACTTTGTGCCTTTCGCAATAAATTAAGTGCATTTAGGGAATTAAAACTCGAAATTTTTTTAGTTTA